TAAATAATCTTGGCATGAGTTTATAACTTGAGGAAAAGTATAAATAGTGCATATGCTGGGTTCTAAGCATTGATATAAACCATTGTCATTGATATGATACATGAGTATGTTTTGAAAGTTTTCTTGCCGACGTGCTTAATTTTAAGTTGTTCGAGGACGAACAAGAATTTAAGTGTGGGGTGGTAATAAATAATGAAAAGTGCATATTTTTTTAGTATATTTGCATATTAATTCTTGTGGGAGTCGTGCGAAATTACATGATTTTTTAAGTGAAATGTGCCCATTATGTGTTCTTATGTGTAGGAACAAGTTTTGATGATAAATGATCAAAAGATGATAATTTGACACAAAAAAGGAAGAGATGGAAATAATTGGGTGTTCGTCCAATTTCATGCGTGGCACAAAAACAGACACGAAAAAGGAGAAAACTGAAGGCACAAAACAGCGAAGTGAAGCGAAGGCACTGGTCGCTTCACGAATTGGGAAATGACAAAACTTGAGTCCGCGTCCATGGGTGGGCGACGCACGAAGGCAGACGTGGATTCCAGCTTTCCTATCCGATATTGGATTGTATTGGACGACCCTCCACCCTATCTAGATCAAATAAATACGCCCTAAAACACAACTTTAGAGGATGAGACACAACTGTAGGATTGCACAACACCTTTGGAGGCAAGAATACACTAGGAGCAAGGAGGAAGATTCAACCACGAGTTTTTCCTTCTTTCTTCTTGTTTTCTATTGTTGGTTATGAATTTTAATATTGTATTTTCACATACTACTATGAGTAGCTAATTTATTATTTAGGGTTTTGATGGAACCTTTTGGAGGATGAATTCTTATTATGTTTGAATATAATTTAGCCTTTGAATTTCTTTAGTTGTTCAACTACGTGCTTATATCTGTTGATTGAATGACCATCAACTGACTGTGCCTATTTATTATGTATTGCTTGGGAAAGGGTACATATTTAGGTAGTTATTGAACAAAGTCACTTCTAACGTATATGAGGAATCAATACGGCAGGTTTAAAGGTGGGTTTAGGAATAACAAAGCCTTGACATGGTCATAGTGAGCGGTAAAATTGTGCCAGCTAGCATAATTCGAGAGAATATATCGAGTAAATTATTGTACTTTCTCGGGAGAGAATTACGACACCTGAAGTGTGCATGATCAATAGAGAATAATTAGGCAAAATTATAGAAGACATGGCGGGAAGGATTCCGACAATTGAGGAAATCATAACTCTAAACTTTCTTAAGCTTGTCTCCAATCCTTAGTATCTTTTGTTATTAATTTTCTATTTTAATTTGTTAGTTAATTAGCTAAATATAATATGTATAAATTAGGAATTTTTCGAGCTTGCCTTTTTAGTGATATTTAACATTTATAGTTAAGCCTTAGTTCTCTGTGGGATTCAACTCCGGACTTTTTGACTGGATTGTATTTGCAGCGACCGCTTATCCTTTTTAGGAGTAGAGTTGGGCGTGATCAAATCCCCCGAGATCAAAGTTCCCAAGGGTCTCAAGGCTTAGGCCAATGCTTGCGCCGGAGAGAGCAACCCAACCTAAAGTTAAACTCTACTCCCAAATACTTTTAACCACTAACGACTAACTCTTCCTTATAGGTTTGAATGCCAATGAGACAAACCATCCACTATAACATTTCATACCACAGAAACATACTTTCCCTAGTAGAATAATGCAAGGAAAACACATAGAAAAAATCCCTATATTTCAGTATTAAATGAGTGAAGCACATATTGAATAATTTTTAAAGTCAGACTTCTAAGCACACATGACAATAGGAACATTTATGCTATTGTTGCTAAAAATTAGACAACAAGAGTCGAACATCTCACAAACAGATAAGGCACATAGTTTGGAATTGTAATAGCTTTAGGATACAGATACTAATGCCTTAACATTGATCACAGGTGAACACACACCTAGGTTAGTGACATTACTTAAATCCCTTGAGATCCTTAGTACAGATTTATCCCATATTGCTGTCTGAATGTCATCAAGATCCCTTGTGAGGGCATCCACATCTGGCATACTGGGCTACTGATCAAGGTAGGAATCTCCCTTGAATGAAATGACACATGGAACTCGTACACTATGGATCTAATGGGAGGTAGAGTCTGCATATATGGAACATGCTCATTGGTGGCATCATGCTCCCTCGTCAAATCAGGTTCTTCATTCTCATCCTTATCATCATCACCATCGTTAAGAAAGGGTGTGTCATCTCCAGACTCATCAGCATTATCGTCGTAAGCACTATCATCTTCCTAACTATGTGCATCTGCCAGATTCTGACTAAATATATTGTCTTCAGGCAATTGAGTAAGGACAAGACCTTCAAGTTGCTCGTTTTATTGCACAACCAATAAAATAATGAGTTTCTCAAATTCATCCAAATATTACATATAAACTTTATCACTTAACTTACAAATCATAATCTGTTGATATCCCATGATGCATATTATCATGTTACTGATGACTCCCGGATGGACCACCATGATCCAACACAACAAAACTAGGCATATTCCAACTGTCCGTTGGTTCATAACTTGTAAAAGTCATATCTAGCCGGTATCCCCTTTGGAATATATGATTGTTAATACAAATATAATACATAAAAAATATTGTAATACAAAGGAAAATTAAAATTTACCACTCGGCTTGTGGGTTATTTAAACTCGAGGAGAAATTATGTCCTCGCTCCTCATTCGCCCCGTGGAGATAAGTTTAGATCTAGCCAAACTCTTTCAAACGGAACCTGTTCGGATAAAACTGCTCCAAAATAACCACCAGATAATTGAGGGTTATTCCTATTTTGCAGAACCTCAATATTGCGAACGTCTTCAGCCTTGACTACATTTCTAACATTTTTATCACAAGAAATTTTCGATGTTTATCCGAAGTCCTCAAAAAATCTGTTAGAGTTTTATCGTCTTCAATGTTAAACTCAGCATAACAAGCAACCCTTTGCGGAGTTACAGAATATGGATATCTTCTGGTTACTTTAATATTAACCGAACATTTCCTCACACTCATTTTTTCACTCTTCGGACATTATGACAAATTGCAAAATAAGTTGAGCAAACAAATATTTTGGAAGACCTGGAGGATTCTGCATAAATTTTGTCTGAAATTTTGAAACTCCTTAAATAAGCAAAAAATCAGTCTGGGGGTACAATAAATGACGGTATAGCGCATACATAATATGCGCTATATATGTAGTGATTCCTTCTTTGACCTACCAAGTGCTTACATCATTCAAGAGATGTCATCAAGGGTGTATTAACAAGAGCATTATAACAAAAACATCACTTGAACACTTGAGAATTCACTTCAAGCATTCAAGCCTTCTAAAAACAGTGAACTCAATTCTTAAGAGCTTGAAGAACAAAATTAAACGCTACTACGGACCAGTTCCTAAATCTAGTATTTTGTCGTCCTTAGTTGAGTTGTAACTTTGTGATTGTTCTTATTGTAATTCCTAAATTGCTTAGCTAGAAGCGTTTCTTAGGAACCTCCGTATAAAACCATAAACTTTCTGAGTTTGTGTTGTGACTAGAGTTAGTCATAAATTAAAACCTTTGTAACTAGTGAGTGACAAAGTGTCTTGTGGTAAGAGTATCACAAGTTAGTTGAGTTGAAGTCTTTGTAATAGAGTCATTACAAAGTGGCTTGTAATAGAGTGTTTACAAGTTAGTGAAGTTAAAAGCCTATAAGTGTAGGTCGTGATTTTTGTCCCCTTGTGTGGGATTTTTCCACATAAAAATTCCTTGTCTCATTTATTTACTGTTTCATTAGTATTCTCAGTAAAAACTCATAGAGACTCATATGAACTAACACCCAACTTCTTTGTGGATAGGGGTACACCTATGTACTTGAAAGGTAGTTCACCATTTGCAAGCCCTAACATCTGAAGGATTTGCTGTCTATCTGCCACAGGGACACCTCCAAAATAAGCTTCACTTTTACTAAGATTTGCTTGAAGACCTGAGACTTGAGTGAATTGGCTAAATTTCTGCTGCATTACTTACAGTTTCTTCAAATCACCTTTGGCAAATAATAGTAAGTCATGTGCAAAGTTTAGGTGAGTAATTCCAAGCTTTACACACCTAGGATGATGCTTGAACTCCTTCTCCATCTTCAAACAAAACTCTCTGGACATTTTTACAGTTTAAAGGGTGATGAATTAAAAAAATGTAAAAGATGACCAGAGTATAGATCTATCAACGATTCTACAGCAGTGTAAAAGAAACTAAGCAAATACAAAGAATATTAAATTTTAACTATTCAATGTTCTAAAAGATAAATTTAAATCATATGAAAGGAAAGATATTCAATACATTGTAATTTGCTACTCATAATCGCTACAATATCTTATGTCTTGCCAGTGAATATGCTAGAAATAAGTTAGATTCAATATGAGTAGCATGTTAGATTTGGAAATTAGGATTTTGAAATTAATTACTTGTTGACTTGTAACTGTTTTTATAATTTCAGAGCCCAAGGAAAAATTGAATGCTTTATTATTTTTAAACTTAATATATAAATATATTTTTCACATATAAATTTATTTGGTACGATTCAGTATTTTTTGGTTTATTTTTATAAAATAAAAAATCAACCATAATTATCGGTATAATTATAGATTTATATAAAACCTATGGTTTTATTAAAAGCAACCTAAAAATCGATTCGGTACGATACAGTTCGGTCGGTTTAGTCGGTTTTTAAATATTTATTGACACTCCTACACAAAGGAGGAATTAATAAGGGTAAAATAGAAAATGCATATGATAAGAGGAGCAGAATGTCTGTTGTTTAATTATGGAGGAGCATTTTGATTTTTAAGGCAAAGTTGGAGGATCAAAATAGGTTTTACCCATATAATTGTATATAATCAATGTATATGACTAAAGAAAAAGTAAAACAGTTTTTTTGTAAAAGAAATAGGTAGAATTTTTCTCCTAAAGTTTTTCTTTTTTCTTTTCCCTAAAGTCTTTGTAATTGTTGGGCGTTGAAGCAAACCCATAGAACCAAAAGCAGCAGCAGCGAAACTGAGAGATGGTGGAGTTGAAAGCAAAGTGGTTGAAGAAAGCAGTGATTCCTTCCACTGTTATAGAGCATCCTTCCCCGGGCAATCTCCAGTCTACTCGTCTTGCCCTTCATGTCCGTTATACTAATTGCCTCTTCTTCTTTTTTCCCTATTTCCATTTTTCCCTATTCATTTTAACTCTTTTTCTGAGAGCAGGTGAATGATGATAACAATTCTTCTTGTTGGGTCTATGTAGCTTCTGGTTGCCATATTTACAGACTTCTTGTAAGTCCTTATATTCAAAATTCCCTATACTGACATGCTTTACACTTGTGTATATGTATTACATGTGCAAGGTTTCAGAAATTATCATATGTGCATGTCAAAAATCACAACTTTCTATATTATTATATTCAGGTTAGAATTTTTTTTTTTTGGTTCTTCCAATGTTTATTGGAGCCACTCACTGGAACATTCTTTTTACAGTCCCCAAATGAATTCTAGAATGCTAAACTGAGTTGCCATTATTCTCAAGTTATTATAATTTAAGAGAGGGGAAAACCTGAAATTGTCTTTCCAATTATTATAATTTTATTTCTTGCATGTCTGATATCCAAGAGGCTCCAAAATTTTAAGTTTATGAGTTCCGACAGCAACCTCATGTTAATATACAATAATAACTGGTTTCAGAGTGAAATATTTATTGATAGTGTATTTCTTAATACATATACAGGGCTTGGACGAAAGCTACATGATTCGTGTGAACCTATAGCTAACACTATAGATCTGCCCCTGTTGATATGACCCTGCACACACAATTTACGCCTTCTGTTTGTGATTTGTAAAGGTGACAAGAAGAGATAGAGAGACAGATTGAGGATTGGTTGGGGGTGGGGGAAGTTGAATAAGCTACTCTGTCGGATTGCAGATTGTTGTCATGTAGTTATTTAATTTCGTCCTCGGTTATTATTGTTGTAGTTATCCTGTCTATAAAAGACAATAAGTTCATTATTGACTTGACACACATTCTTGCAGGTTATTAGCTGACTAACACTTTTACAAGCATGTTTTTGATAGACATGTTTGACAGACAAGAAAGAGTAGTTCATTTTATTTTCATTTTCACTGTACAGATTCCGATGAAAAGTTCACTGATCAACCTAGGAAAGGGGGACCTCCTAATTCCTGAACAATGTGAGGTAAACTTGTCATTTCTTTTGTAATGATGCAAGAAGAAAATTGTGATGTTGCTTAACAATGACGTTCATGTGAAGGTTCTAGAGGCCTCAGTGGTCAATCGCTGCCCCCATCGGTCAGAAATCCAAAGCATAGTGCTAGCTGAAACTGAAAGTAAGTTCTGGAGACATGCTGCATATCTTCTGATTTCCATGAGTTGCACTTGCATTTTTAAGTGGTATTTAGCTTTTTAATATTTGGCAGCTCTTGTGATTTACTGAAAAGTTTGTTGCTATTCTCTTATTCTGAAATAATCCTCCTAAGGTATTGAAATAAGGCATGGTGATAAAGGAGTTCACTCTACTTTCCACCCAAGAAAATGATGTGAGGGAGGCAATGATACATATAGATAGAGAGACAGAGAAGGGGAATTAGAAAAAGAAACGACGGAAATGGTCTGTTGTATCACATCATTGAATTATAAAACTAGTATTAAAACTTTTTTCTTAAGTTAGAAAGTATTTGTACCATACAGTGGTCTTGTACATCTGAAGGATTTTCTACCTCATTTCCTTTTAAGAACTTGCTGCTTTTACTTCTTTTCTATCTTCCTTATTTTTTTGCTATGCGGTTTTTCCATTCGTTTACAGTGATTTTTTTTCTATTAAGTACTTGAAGCAGCTAGCCTCTACCTGTCAACAACTTGATGCTATGTCTAGCTCTCTACAGGCACTGGTTGCTTAACACTGGGAAGCGTGGATTCTTATGGTCACCTTATTGTCTCAAGATTAGATGCCAGTGGTAAAGGTATCTCTCCTGTTTCATTTTCATCACGGAACTATATGGTGGTGGATTCGGATAAACATTAACAGTTTATTTTGATGTAGCTCCTGGTAGACCTAAATTTTCTCTATGGATATAGGCGTTAAGCAACTGTTAGTAACTAAATTCACTAGTTATGTGGTCCAACATGCTCACTTGTTTAGTTTTATTATAATTTAACTAAAGATGCTGAGCTTAGAGTAGTATAATCTAATGTATGAGTGATGTTGTTTACCAACTTGCTTCTTGATTAAAACTGATTAGATAAACTGATAGTTTTGCTAATTAGACTAGATCTAAGCAAAATTGTGTAATGTGATTTTAACATTGGCCAGGAATTGAATTTCACTAGTGAGTTATTCTTACAAGCATGATGTTTTGATTGTGGTTTGATCAAGTGCTCTTTTTTTCAGATGTCAACAGGCTTACGTATTCTGTCTCTCCTCGAGATTGTGGTGTTGGAGAAGGTAGCTGGGCAGGCCTTTGCTTCAACCCTACTCAATGGTCCATGGTATTTGATCTCATGTATCTGCTAGATTTGAGTTTGTACTCCTTAATCCTGATGTCTCACATCTTTAAGCTTCTTCCTGCTCAGTAAAGTTTGTATGAACACCATTGTATGTGTGCTTGTGGGTGCAAATTAGAGAGAATTGGGGTGGAGGGTGGCCCTTGTCCTTGTCTTCTGATTAGTTTGCTATCCATTTGCTGTTGTATATCTTCCGGTGTGCTTCAATATAGCTTGTGTCCTTTGCTTGAGAGTTTTCCAGCTAGACTATCTGCTGTTTGGAACAAATTTTACTTTTTGTCTACGTTATACTGAGAAATGTGAAATGATGGCAGAAACTTTCTTAAAATAATCTCCTTGCCTCTAAATGTAGCGTTGCTTACTTTTTGCCCCATGTATCTATTGCTTATTAAGCTAAATAACTTCAGCTAGTCAACATACCTGAGCACAAAATAGTAAGTTTCTGTTATTCTCAATGTCATTTTGGGTATTCAAATGAACTCTAAAGCACTTTAAGTTGAGTTGAACTCTTGGAAGGCAAGTGGAAGGTTATTTTTGTTCTTCTTCCATATGCATTTCATTTTCTTTCTTTTACCATCTTCTCTCTCTCTGTCTCTTTGTTCTCTTTTGCAAAGAAAAAATTCTTTTTAGTGGCATATTTCTTGCTTTCAGCCTGAATTACAGTATTCACTGGCCTTTTTCCTCAGGCAGCTGTGGCTCACAGTTTCTCCAAAACCGTAGATGTTTATGACCAAGATATTCATCTCCGCACTTTACGTACGTAAGTACCTATCTTTGGTTTGGAGACAGCAGTTATCCTTTACAGTATCATCTCAAACCGTTCATTCTATTTCTTGCTACTGTGTTCTCCGGTTCTACACACACTCTCTTTTGGTGTTGTCCCCTCGTCTTTATTTTCATTAATGTGGTGCTTATGCTTTCCTGAGCCGAGGGTCTATTGGAAACAATCTCTCTATCCTCACAAGGTAGGGGTAAGGTCTACGTACACACTACCCTCCCCAGACCCCATAGTGTGGGATAATACTGGGTATGTTGTTGTTGTTGTATATATATATATATATATGTGGAAGTTTTCTGTTACCTTGGGCCTTTGGAGGCAGTGTTGCAAAAGCTAACACCAAAAATAGGAAACTATTGCCAAATGCTGAGTTTACTTCTTGTGGTCGGAGATAAACAAGTCAAACATTAAGGAGCACTAATACCTTTAGCAGATGCTTTATTTGTGAAAAAAGAAACTGAAGATACAAGGCATCTTTTTATCCACAGTCCAAATGCTCGTCAACTTTTGAGTAAAACAGCATACACTATTTGAAGTGTGAACAAAAGACAAAATAAATAGAACCAAAGCAAAACAGTCCAGGAATTAAATGCATTCCCTCATAGCCATTTCTATTACTCATTCTCCTTTCCCNAATCCTGCCAATAGTACCCTTGTCTCAAGTGAGGCCACACAGAATGAAGTTGTTTGGTCATACATTGAGATTCTCATTATTGGTTCCCTCAATCTCAATGACCATTCTTTTTGTTTCTTTTTTCTTCTATTTCCTTGCTGTTCATTTTTTTCTTTCAATGTTCTTCATTATACCCATGCTTTGTTCTTCTACTTCTAATTAATATAATATCTCATGCTACGGCAGATAACTGGACTTGCTTTCTCTTCCATTGATCCTGAATACGTCTATGTGCAAGGAGTTGACTACGAGGTGACTGTTTCACAACCAACCATTCATAGTTTCTCATGAATTAAGTAGAGAATCTGAGTTGCATCGTTACTCCAACTTATATCTTCACTTCCTTAAAACATAGAACTAACATAGAGCCCATATTGATGTAAATTTTCAGCACAGCTAGACATTCCTTCAAAGATGTTCAAAATCTTTTTCCATTATTCCAACTTGTATCCTCAATTCCTCAAAACGTAATAATCCCCATTAAGATCCAATATTGTTGATTGCTGTACTTTTTAAGTAGTGACAGTCTGGCCGACAAATCTTACTAAAAGTATTACTGAGGAATTTCTCTCTCTTTATTTCTGTTCAGGTCCCTAAACAATAAATGTAGAACTCAATTTCTCCGCTCACTACCCAACCCAACTCTCTTTTTCCTTTTAGTTCTTTGAATTTGAAGATACTATCTTCTAATCTGTCTCCAATTTTTAGTAATTTTTTTTTATTCATCCCACCAAGCAATGAGTAAAATGCATTACATGGTCTGTCTACCATGATTAAAATGTTATTACTCTTTTTTCCCCTTCAAAGTAGAAGCATAAATCACTCAAGTAAGCGAAAACCGGTTCTTGTTATTTAGTAGTTTCCTTCCACAGATTTTCTTGTTCTTTATTTCCTTTTTCCCCTTTTCCTTCCCTACACTATTGCCAATTTTGTAACGTCAGTCTCAAGATAGTGACAGGCAGCAGTCTGTTGCCCCATGAAATGATTACTGTCATCTATTGTTAGTTTAAGGGCCCAAAATGACGAATGGTTTATAACTTGCGAATTTGAGGTCCTACACCACAGCCATCTGGTCTTGCTCCATCCTTATACATGGTGCATTTTGATTTTTGTTCCTCATAATAGTCATAGTGCCAGTAGTGATTTGTTTCCATCACCTTTTTCCTTCTCCTATTCTTGATAAACTTAAGAGAGCATTAATTTGTGCTATAGGTATGCAATTGAATGCAAGTATTGTACAGCCTTTATACTTCCCATGACAATATCATTGATATTGAATAGCACAATTGATGAATACCTCTGCACAGGTCTTCTGTGGACGATGGCGAGAAAGCAAGAAAATATTTTCATACCGAGGAGATTCTAATTGGCTTGGATTTAGCAAGGTATGAACTAAGTGTAAATGTGATATGCAGATTATCCAGCTCTACTTGGTTAATTTGATGGTGGTAATCACTACCAATGCACTTCTTTTATTTGAAATGGATCAGCACTGTGATCTGATCTTCTGTTAAATCAGATGTCGCTTCTTGACTAACTGTTGAACTCCAGTGTTGTTAACAGTATCATTTTGCTTGATTCTGTTTCCTTATTTTCCCCCTGTTCACCTCCTCATGAACTGCTATGTTTCTGGAACTGTTACGCGGACTACTAGTGTGTTTGAGAGTTTTTGTTCAGTAATATGCCAACTTTGCTATGAAACTTGTTTCTTGTTATCCCTCATCCATTAAGCTCTTTTCTACGTGTTTTTTACAGTGTTCAGACAGAGATGTCTTAGGGGGTTGGTGCGACTCAGGTAGTATATTTGTGACTGATATCCATGGAGTAAATTGAGTGAACGGATTACACCTGCCAAGTGACTTAGTCTCTGCTGAAACAACCTTCTGAATGAATGTGTTTATATTCTTCATGCACTTTCTACCCTCGGCTCGTATCACCAGTTTCACTTAGATCAAGGCTTGATCAGCTCAAAGGAGATGTTAGTTGCACGAGTCCTGCATCACTCGAGTCAATCAGTTAACAGCATCAACCATCTTACTAAGAGCCAGTTCGCTTCCCAATTACATTTTAAGGGTTTTTTAGAGTAACATGTTAGCAAAGAGCATAACAACTATACTTAACAGTCACTAATGTAGTCCAGCATCTGAAGGGGACAGTGGCAAATGTAAACAAATGTTTTCCTGAATGTTGTTGTGCATGTTATTCTATTTATTGAAAAAACGAAATCCTTTTCATTTTTAGTTATCTCTGTTTTGAGAATAATTAAGTCGTGATAATTGGTTCCTTCTTCAATGATAAAGGACGCTGCTTCCCTTCTTAAGATATGACTGGTCTCAACTCCATTCTGTTCATATTATTTATTTTTTAAGATAGTTTTACAACTCTTAAGAAAGAAATTTTATAACTTTGAGTATTCGCCTAAATTGTATTTATCTCTTAAATTTCTTACTTAATTACCACCAGCTAATCGAAACATTGAGGGTGATTCGAAAAAATAAATAATAAATAACTTTTTATTTTCTTAAAGTATCAAATAGTGCTTAAAACAAATTCCTTAGTCAAAACAATTAATATTTGGAATTGGATGGAGTTGTAATAGTTTCTATTATTTGGATCAAATTTTTCTGCAGGTTGAGCGAGTCAACTTGGATGAATCTTTCAAAGGTCAAAGGTCAAGATATCTACATTTAGGGGACAAGATCAAAGCTGCCANACAATACCTAAAATGGCCCCACCCTTATTTGGACTAACCCCTTCAAGGCTAAGGTATGGTACCACCTCACCACTCCGAAACCCTAGTTAAAAAAAAGATGGAAACAGAAATAAAGTAGGAAAATAAATACTACTACTACTAGTGATTATTTTCCATTTTTTCTTTGTATTTTTCATATCAGGGGAGGTGACAGACCCCCTCATATATTATTTTCTATTATTTTTTTGAGCAGAGGGTCTTTAGGAAACAGTCTATCTACTTTCATTAGGCAGGAATAAGACCTGCATACACTTTACCCTTCCCAGACCCGACTTATAGGATTTTACTGGCCTTCTTGTTAAAGGGGTATTACGTAACGATAAGGTTTAAACCTTCCATCTCAGGAAAAATTGCACAGACGCCCAAATTGGTCGCTCCCATTTAACTTATACCCATTTTTTTAAAACTTTTAACTTATACCCACTTCTTAAATAACTCCAGCCTCCTTTCTCCTCATTCTTCTCCTCCTTCGTTTTCTTCTTCTTCTGAAATAAATAGCTGAAATATGCAAACAAAGGACCTGTCTTCCTATAAATCTGTGTCTTCCTATAAATCTGTGTTGCAGAATTTGGAGATTTATAGCAATCACAAAGTATGAATATTGCAAAAAGAGTAACTGCTGCACAAAAGAGAATAGCCAAAGGACCTGCTATCCATCCTAATTGTGCTATGCTCCATGCAAGTGATAGGAATCACCATGTCTGAAGCACTCATAATACTGGGTACTGCATTGTTTCTCCTATATTCTGCACTATAGAATTCTGATATAATGGATCCACCACCTTTGCTCATAAGCAAATCTTCAGTATTTGATTGGATAACTAAATCAGATGTAGTGATCTCTTCAGCCTAGTCTTAGCCTCATATGCAACAATGACAGAAGCATTGTCAACATTAGATTATGAATTTCTAAAACTTCAGCTCTAGAGCTGAAGTTTCCCAGTTACAACATAAAAACTTCAGCTCTAGAGCTGAACTTCAGACCCCGCTACTAAAATGCTGAAGTTTTGCGTGATTGCCTTTGCTATTTCAGCCCCGTATACTGAAGTTATGCGAAAAAGCGGGTACGCTTGCAATTTTTTTTGCAAAGCGGACACAAGTTAAAATGTGACACAAAAAACGGGTATAGATACAAATGCCCCTCCATCTCAATTGTGGAAGATAGGAAGCTCGTCCCATGAGCTGGCCTAAACCCCTAATACTAGTCAAATAAATGGATAAATTAGTTAACCTTTTTTTTTTTAAAAAAAAATTTTCACTAATTTCCAAGATTCTAATAAATGCAAGTTGCAAATCAAGGGTTCTTTGATAATGGCATTAAACCAGCTTTGGTACAAACTAAAAATTTGGGATTTAGTGATGGAACCTTATGCCAAATCCCAAATTTTTAGAGTGTGGGCCCTAAACCGTATGGGAGTTTACAAAATCACATGATTCATGCTCCTTGTTCTTGAATTTTTGTATAGATCTGAATTAGTTAGCTCAACTTTTAACTATTATTAGGCAAAGTAAAAATTGCACGGGCGTCCTGGGCGCCCCTTTTTAACCTGTAGCCACTTTGTCTTTCTGTTTGTACTCGTACCTGTTTTTTTTGTTAAAAGCCATTTGAAAAGATTATTTTGCCCTTCTTTATTAAAAGACTATTTTCTCTCCAAGTATACGCTAGTACTCTACTATCTCTGTCTCTCTCTCCCGTTATTCGTATTTTTTTGATTTGCTCTTCTCTGAAATCAAAGGGTTTTCGTCGTTGTTTCG